CAGTGACCACAGGCTTTAAAATTTCTGGCTTTGTTTTTTACCATCCCATGAGTTGGGCCAAAAAGGTGAAATAGAGCTTTCCAACAAAGAATGCCCGATCACTGTACTGCTTCAATGCTTCTGCAGTCTGCGTTTCATTGGCGTCTCCAGACACCTACAAAGGAGCTCCCATAAGACATCTATTTCTTTTTTCAATGTCCTGTAGTTTTCTGAGAGCAGGTCTTTTACGTCCTTGGTTAAGTTTATTCCTAGGTATTTTGTTGTTGTTGCAATGGTAAATAGGATTGGTTTTTTTGTTTCTCTTTCTGAGTGTTCATTATTGATATAAAATATCTATGTCTTTTAAAACATTGAACTTTTCAGAAAGCTTGTTGAGCTGCCTCATAGTTATCCCTATTGGAAAAAAGAAAAGGACAGTGATAGGAAGGTTTAGTTGTTTTTTAAATGTTTTTATTGGCCCAGCTGGTGTGGCTCAGTGGTTGGGTGTCAACCCATGCACTAAGAAATCACCGGTTTGATTCCCACTCAGGGAACATGCCCAGGCCAAATCCCCAGTAGGGGCATGCAGGAGGCTGCTAATCAATGTTCTCTCTCATTGATGTTTCTATCTCTCTTCCTCTCCCTTTTTCTCTCTCTAAAAATCAATATAGAAAAAAAAAAAACTTTTAAAATGTTTTTATTGATTTTTGTTTAGAGAGAGAGGAAAGGAGAGAGATAGAAACACCAATGTGAGAGAGAAACATTGATTGGCTGCCTCCTGCACACCCGCTCCTGGGGATCGAGCCTGAAACCCAGGCATGTGCCCTGATGAAGAATGGAACTGGGACCTCTCAGTTCATGGGACAATGCTCAGTCCATTAAGCCACACCAGCCAGGCAGAAGGTTTAGTATTAATACCTTTCTTGGGCTTTAGAGTAGGTCATCCTGATTCAGATCATGGCTTCACCCACTGTTCCTTCATTTGTAATATTCCTTTATTTGCTACATTAGCAAATAAAAACACCTACTTTGAAGTGATTGGTGTTCTAAGGATTAATAATTATGTCTATAAAGCACCTAGCACAAAGCAGGGGCTTAGTAAATGGCAGCTATTATCATTGGGATCGTTAGCAGAATTTACCAACTAGGAACCATCTTTCCTCCCAGATTCTCTTTCAGGGACTCATGTATCTGTTCCCTGAACACTCACTAAAATTCAGCTCCATGGTCAGTCTGGTTGCCCTCAGCACTGCTGTTTCCCAGCATCTATGGCAGTGCCTCAGACACAGTAGATGCAACGTAAATTGTTCATTGATTGAACTGAAACTTTTTTTTTTAATCCTCACCCGAGGATATTTTTCTATGTATCTTCAGATAGAGTGGGAGGGAGAGAGAGGGTGAGAAAGGGAGAGAGAGAGAATCATCGACTTGAGAGGGACACATCGACTAGTTGCCTCCTGCCTGACCCCGACCAGGGCCAGGGACAACCTGCAACTAAGGTATGTGCCCTTGGCCAGAGTCAAACCCGTGACTCATTGGTCCGAGGGCCAACGCTGTACCACTGAGCCAAACCAGCCAGGGTGATTGAACTGAATCTTACTCACCTTTATTTTAAGCTTCTGTGCATACATTATTCTTCTCGGTATTTTATCTTAAGTTCTCAAATCAACTATATAGAACTCTGGGTCAGTGGTGGGAAGATGGAGGTCAGCCCTAGGAGATTTGGGGGAGAGAAAGTGTGCTTGGCAAGAAGCAGCAGTATGATGCAATGATCAGGTAGATAAATGTCAGGGCTTTTTTTTTTTTCCCTCTTTAAATTTATGGAAGTCACAGTATAATATCACAAGTGACATCTCATCACTTTTGTGGTGTTCTGTTTGTTCGAAGCAAGTCTCTGGGTCCAGCCCTCACACAGGTAGAGGCCCTTACACAAGGGTGTAACTAGCAGGAGGCCAGATCATTGGGAGTCAGCTTAGAAGCTTCCTATCACACTCCCATTTTACAAATTAAGAAACTGAGGCTCAGAAGTTTAGTTAGTGACTTCCTCAGTCACCCCAGTTATATGCTGGGGTAGGAGTCAAACACAGAACAGCTTTCCCTTCTAATCACTAAGCGTATAAACAAAGTCACTTTAATGAGGTTTTTTAAATATGTTTTTATTGATTTTTTAGAGAGAGAGAGGAAGGGAGAGAGAGATAGAAATATCCATGTGAGAGAGAAACATCAATTGGCTGCCTCCTACACGCCCGTAACCTAGGCATGTGTCTTGACTGGGAATCAAACTGGGACCTCTCAGTCCTTGGGACCACACTCAGTCCACTGAGCCACACCAGCAGGCCTCATCTTAATAATATTTTAAGACCAGCTGGTGTGGCTCAGTGGTTGAGCGTCGACCCCTGCACCCCACTGGTTTGATTCCCAGTCAGGACACATGCCCAGGTTGTGGGCCAAATCCCCAGTTGGGGGCATGCCGGAGGCAGCCAATCGATATTCTCTCTCCCCTTCTCCCTTCCTCTCTCTAAAATCAATTTTATAAATTTTTTTAAAAAATAATAATATTTTAAATAGTTGCTATATGTGATGCTTATATGTTTTCTCATTTAATCCTCACAATAGCCTGGCAAAGTTGGTAAATACGGTTTCCATCTGTAACAGATGAAAGTCCATTAATGAATTCAGAGATAAAACCATTTTGCCCAAGACCACAAAGTAGCTGAGTATATCCCCATTCCTAAAGAAGAGTGGAGAAGGGTTTGGCCTGGCCTTGAGAGGGGAGGTGCTCCGGGCAGCCTACCTTGGCCTTCTCTGTTGCCGAACCAGGTGGTCCGTCAGGCCTCCCCTTGGCCTGTGTGAAAAGACCCCTCAACACCATTGCCCCATCTTAGCACTGCTGCCAGGCTCACCAGACCACCGCTGTTCACTTAATTTCACTTGCCCTGGCTGGAACCTGAGGGTGTCAGGCATCAGACCAGAATCACGCTCATGCCCTGTGCTCCAGCTTCACAGGCCTTTGATTCCTTGCTCAGAGCTTTGACCCAGGCTCTTCTCTCCGCACAGAATGTGTCCTTTTACCTTGTAAACTCCTACCCTTGCTTAAACTCCCAATGCAAATCTTACTTCCTAGGGAGGCTGTCCCTGCTGGAAGATTAGACCAGGCCCCTCTGTCACATGCTAAGAGCCCAGATATTTCCTTTGCCGCATGTATCTCAGTTCATAACTATGAACTGTGGTGTGGTGGAGGGTGAGTTCTGTGAAGGTTCATGTCTGTTTTGCTCACCGTTATATCCCCAGCATGCCTAATACAGTGCCTGGCAAACAGTAGGCAGTTAATGAGTGTTGCTATTATCTATTGAATGAATATTAAGATGCCTCCTGTGGGTCATTCCAGGAGCAGCCCCCCTGTTTTCCCCAGGGTACCTCTGTGCTGTAGTAACCTTAATTGTTACCTTTTCAAACTTTTATACTAAAATGCTAACTAGGGAAGAACTGAAGGGCTTCCTGACTTCCCACAAAAACATTTAAAAGGGACTTCTCGAGACCACTGATTCTGTGGTGTTCCCAGCCAGATGGCTTTCAGGGTGGGATGTTTAGGCTCTGAGGAATAGATAGGCAAAGAGTAGAAGGGAGTGTGGGATATATTTTAGGACAGGAGAGACCTTGTTTCAGAACATTTCAAATTGCAGGGTCTACTCTAGAAGTGTAGAAAGGGCTTTTAATAAGGGAGGAATCTTATCACATTACTTAAAAATAATGTTTACATGCCCTGGCTGGTGTGGCTCAGTTGGTTGGAGCATTGTCCCATACACCAAAAGGTTTTGGGTTTGATTCCCAGTCAGGGCACATGCCCAAGTTGTGGGTTCAGTATCCCCCCAATCGGGGGTTGTACAGAAGGCAACCAATCGATGTTTCTCATATTGATATTTCTCCCTCTCTCTCATTTCCTTCCTCCCTCTCTAAAGTCAATAAACATATCCTCGGGTGAGGATTTAAAAAAATTTTTTTTATTTAAAAATAATGTTTATAGCCCAGCCAGCGTGGCTCAGTGGATTGAGTGTCATCCCATGGACTGAGAGGTCTGGTTCAATTCCTGGGCAGGGCACATGCCTGGGTTGGGGGCTCCATCCCCAATAGTGGGCGTGCAGGAGGCAGCCGATCAATGCTTCTCTCTCACATTGATGTTTCTCTCTCTCTAAAAAATCAATAGAAACACTTTAAAATAAATAAACAAAAATAATGTTTACAAAGAGTATGTAAAAGCATTGAAGAAATATATGTACCATATAAATATCTATATATGTATATACACTCATCATTTTATTTCATTTATGCAAAAATATGCATTACTAATTAATAATTATTAAGTTACTTATTGAGTTACTATATGTCACAACAACCCTATAAAGTAGGCACTATTAGCCCCAGTTTTCAGATGAGGAAGCTGATGAAGTGTAATCTTCCCAAGGTTCCACAGCAAGTAAAGGACAGCTCAGATTTGAACCTTGTTAGTCAGACTCTAGAGCCCATACTCTTAACTGCTATATGAGGCAGAGAGAAATCCATAAAAATGTTCTCTGTCTTTGGGTGGTGGTTTATTTTCTCTCTATTGCCCAAGTTTTCTATGTGGATTTACTATAGCAGTTGAATGATAAATTTTTTAATAGTGCCCTGGCCGGTTTGGCTCAGCAGTTAGAGCATCGGCCTGTGGTCCAGAGACCCGGGTTCAGTTCCCGCTAAGGGCACGTACCTCGGTTGTAGTTTGTCCCCGGCCCTGGTTGGGTTGTGTGGGTGGCAACCACTCAATGTGTCCCTTTCGCGTCAATGTTTTCTCTCTCTCTCTGTCTTCCTCTCTCTCCCTCCCACTCTATCTAACAAAAAATGGAAAAATGTCCCCGGGTGAGGATAAAAAAAAAAAAATTTTTTTTAATAGGGAAGAAGGTGGGGTGATGAAATTCAAGGGACAAATGTATGCTTTGTAACAAAAAATTTACCCCATTTCCTTTTCCACTTTCTAAATTTCCCAGGACTGATCACCACAATTCGGCAGGTCACTGAGGCCCTGTCCCCCGAAGATGAAGCCAGCACAGCACTCATTGCAGGTAACAGAGGCTCTGAGCCAAAGCCAAGGGACCTTCAGAGTTCAGGGGCACCTCATCCCAGCCAGCCAGGAACCAGCGTGATGAACTAAGATTTCCCTATATGGGAAAACACTACAAATCAGAGACCAAATCCACAAAGGGGTCATTTTGGCATGTAGGTTATCTTACACACACACTCACAGCTCTGAAACACACTTCGAGGCTTCTGTCAGAAGTACTACCGTAAAGGATAGGTGGGGAGGTGGCCGCAAATACATATAGGAGTGTATGGGCACTACACTGCAGTACGTGGGTAGGGAGGAGGATGTGTGTAGTTTGCTGGGTGGGTGAGGAAGAGGATGGGAGGGAGCAGAAAACCCCCTACAGGAGACTATGGATTTAAACAACTCTTCCTGTTGGAATAAGCTATTTCCTGTTTGCCTCTTTCCTGTTTCTATCATAATCATCAGGAACTGGTGGAAAGAAAGTTCAGTTTTATCCTTAGCTTAAGACTCCAGAGATTGTGTCCCATAGGAGTGGGGCTTGGTGGGGAGGAATATGGATTTGGAAGTGGACACTAGTTAACTAGACCAAGAGGATCCTTATGAAAAGTGAAGGAATCATCTAATTCAGAGGTCCCCTTGAATTAACTGATACATACTCGATCCTGAAACATCTCTGCATTTTCCCTCTCCTTCCAAGTTGTTATCACCGTGGTCTTCCTCACCCTGCTCTCAGTCGTGATCTTGATCTTCTTCTACCTGTACAAGAACAAAGGCAGCTACGTCACCTACGAACCTGCAGAAGGAGAGCCCAGCACCATCCTTCAGATGGAGAGTGACTCAGCCATGGGCAAGGAGAAGGAGGAATATTTCATCTAATGATTCCCAGCCCCAAGGAGCTTATCCAGGCTCCAATGCAAACACTAACTATTTAATTTATTAGGTGAAAGTTTTATCTGAAGCCAGTGAGAAGAATTGGTCGCTATGGGCAAACCTGAGCTCCTTCCAGGAGGAGGCCCGAATCCAGCATCATTGATGCCAGGGACCAGGGACATGGAGAAAACTGCTTATGATGTCTTTAGCCCGGCCTTTGTAAGACAGTGGGGTTTGTGACTGACCAACAAAGTGGAGCTGTAGCAGGCAACATTTGAGTATGTGCCCAGTCATCTTCAATTTTTTTCACAGGTCAAAGGGGAGGAGAGTTAGGGCCACTGGCTGCTCCTCTGTCCCCAACCTGGTCACCTAGTGACAGCCCAAGTGGAGGTACTGTCCATAGAAGTTCTTCCCAGAGGCTGGATACCACAGTTAGAGGCCAGGCCAGGAGGGGTAGGAGACTATATACTTACCTCCTAATGAATGTGCAACATCCTTTCATCTGAGCCCTTCCTTTCTGTATTTCCCAACCTCATACTTAATGCTATTTTTATCAGAATTAAAATTTTTCATTGATTAAGAAAATCAGATTCCCGTGTGCAAGAAATAACTACCTTTACTTTTTTTTAAATTCAAAATGTGTTTATTGGGATGGTTCCCCACTCATCTTGATTCGAGGTGCTTTTCGTGCTGCCTCCTCCTGAAGGAGCATCCTTCTGTCAGCCTTGCTTTTCCTCCTGTTGGTTGACAGAGGACGTGGAGCAGTCAACACACAAAACCACCATTTGTGTGTGGCCAGAGATGGTGGTGATTTTACAGCATCCTGGGCATTTCACACCTATGAAGTAGGAATTGGGGCTCTGCACCAGGCTCTTCTTCCTGTGTTTTCTCTCCTCTTCTGGAGAGCGATGGAGGAGATCTTGGAGAGACACGTGTTATTGGGAGGTCATCACTGCTAGAAAGACTTCACATTTTGACTTACCCCTGAAAACTTTTTTGACATTTTCTTTTGCTTAACTCTGTTGCATATATTCTCTCCCAAGCAAAAAGAACCCTAGGGAAGTTTGGAAAATTCCCAGAATAATCTCTGGGGTTTGAAACAAAGCTGGCCCTGGGAAGCTGTCCCAGAGGAGTATCGTTACAAACATACCCTGGGGAGATGGATGGTTTCTTCTCCATCCCGGCAAGGGCCACCATTTCCCAGAACCCATTCTCTGTATACAGAGGGAACCAGGAACAGGGAACTTACCACTTTTCCCACTGGTGTCCTTGAATCAAGCCCAAAGAAGCTTTTTGGATCTAACCTATATCTCAAAATGATGTATGTTTAAAAGGCACAATTGGCCCTGGCCAGTGTGGCTGTTTGGAGTGTGCTCCTGTTCATGAAAGGGTCACAGATTCAATTCCCAGTCAGGACACATAACCAGGTTGTGGGATTTTGATCCCTGGTCAGGGAGCATATAGGAGGCACTCAATAACTATTTCTCTTTCCCTCTCCCTTCCTTTCTAAAATCAATTTAAAGAAAAAAGAAAAAACATATCCCTGGGTGAGGATTAAAAGGCACAATTGTTTTGGTAGAAATCATTAGCTCCCCAGATATTTATTTTGGGATGAAACTAGATCTTCTTTGAGGTCTTAAATGTATTGCCCCCATTGTCTAAGTCCACCCAAAGACAGACCTCAAGTTGAGGAATCAATCTTGACAACCTAGATTCCTTTTCAGTATTTCTCCACACAGAACTCTGGAGAAATTGAAGGTCCCCCTGAACTTACACAAACTGTTATACTAAAAACATTTCCCAAACTTCAGGGCAAGTTAGGAGAGTCTGTATCATTACCTTATTTCTATGTTCTGAATTCCTCTGGCATAACATACTTATTAAGAATCTGAAAGGGGCCCAGCAAGTGTGGCTCAGTTGGTAGAGTGCCAACCTATGCACCAGGTCACTGGTTTGATTCTCAGTCAGGGCACATGCCAGGGTTGCAGGCTCGATCCCCAGTAGGGGGCGTGCAAGAGATAGCTGATCTGTGTTTCTTTCTCATGGATGTTTCTATTTCCCTTTCCCTTCTCTCTGAAATCAGTGTGTGTGTGTGTGTGTGTATTTTTTTTGTTCAAGAATCTGAAAGGTGGGTGGGTGGAGGTGAAAGAGGGTATGGAGGATAGATGGTGATGAAAAAATAAAGAAAAAAATCTCAAATACTTAAAAAAAAATGAATTTGAAAGAGCTTAGGAAGTAAAATGAGAAAAGTTAAACATCAAGAATGAAACTCATGAAAATGGTCCAATTTTAGCCTTATCCTCCTGCATTTACTTCAAAGGCTTCATTTTTTTTTTTTTTTTTTTTTTTAATGGCAGCAGCACCTATCTGAATTCTTGGTAGGATATAAAAGGTAAACAGAAGAAATCTAAAAACAATCTGAGTAAAGAATCCTTGAAGTGAGGTGTAATGCAACTTCATCACTTTATTCAAATCTTCAAAATAGTCTTTATTCTACATTTTTAGTATAAAAAAATCCACAAGTTAAGTGCACCACAGTGTAGAGAGAGACATACAACGCTTAACTTCCATAACAGTCAATGGTACAGTCAAACATCACATGTACAGAACACAAAATTTAGATGAACTGAAATTATAAGATAAAATAAAATAAAATCCAATTGCCAAAAACAAAAGTTAAAGTATTAAGGATCCCTGAAATATTCTTAACCTAATGAGATTTTGCTGGACTCAAGTCATTTTGTAGTGAGGCATTCACAATATGACCCCATAAACCCAGCTTAGGAATGACTGGGAGTCATGAGTGGCTGCATCAGACACTTGGACAATAAATGGTAACCAATTTTTTATCTCTAAACTCCCCTTAAATTTGGCTCTAAAGTCATCAAGCTTGTAAAATGCATCCTCCTCCTTGCCCTCCCCACCACCACACACATTTAAACAAACTGTTGTTTACTGTTACAGTACAGTTTGTGTTGCTATCCTTTGTTTTTCTGGCACCAAAGCAAATTTGGGTTTGGTTCATGTATGAAGAGACAACCTATGAGGAAGGTCCAAAAGGCACCCTCCACTTTTGCCTGAGATGCTAAGCAGAAGTAATGGGGTCTGCGCTTGGGGCACAGAGGAGATTTCAAAGGATCCTTGTGAAAGACTAGTTAAAAGATGACAAGTGGGGAGAAGTGCAAGGAGAGAAGGAAATTAGTCTGACTGGCTTTCTGTCCTGCACCACTGATTCAATGGACATTGGCGGGAAGGAATGGAAGACAGGTTGAGGGTGGGATGTGGGACAGAGGATGGAAGAGAAAAGGCAGACAACTAATGCATTTCATTTATAACAAGCAATATAAATCAAAGACTTAAAGGAGATTAAAGACCAATCAGAATAATTTGGCAACTTTAATTCTTAGGAAGATCAAAGTTCCCTCCAAACCTAATTTGATGTTTTATTACTAAAAGCAAAGACCAGTATGGTACAGTATTACTCCAGAGGAATTAAAGGAAGATCCTTAGGGCTGCTTCACCCACATTCATTTTATGAATGGATACCTCCCCTACCTCAAAATGCTTTAGGGAGGTACTGCTACCATTACATGGTTCCTTATTAAGTTTGAAAAGTGCCTGAAAGTTTGGGCACCAGAAAGACACCCCAACAACATGTGTCTTAAACTGCAACTTCAGGTTAATATGACTAAAGCAGTTACATTGTGAGAAGTGCTGAAGGTATGTGATGTCTTTCCCGGCACAGAGGTGGCCTTGGTTCTTCACCAGATGGTGTAGCCACCATCTGTGCCACCCATGAAGAAGTTCCCCTTCCGCTGAGTTACGAGGACATTGGCTCCCTGCATGACTGCAAGCTGAGCAGCATTGGGAGGGCATCCAGGGGGTGGAGGCTGAAAGGAAAAGACAAGATTAATTGGACACAAGGCAGCTAAATACAAGGGAAATGAACACCAGTGAAAGAGGACCTGTTAGAAAGATGGCAATGTGCTAACCAAAAGCATCTTTAAGAGCTAGTTCTGCCACCAATGTGAGTTCTAAAGCAAATCTGTGAACTCAAAGATACAAACAGGAAAGGGAGCATCACTTATTCAAAGAGTTTCAGATCCAAGATAAAGTCTATGGATATCTTCTGAATATGGTAGTCAAGACCCAGTGATTTCCTACCCACATTCTAAAACAAGGATGGGGTGCCAGGTCCATGGCCCTATACCACAGGGTCCCTCAATAGTTTTCAAATGACAATGGGATAACCAAAAGGCTCTACCTAAGACACAATTCCCACCTCATCTCTAATACGTGGTGAGCAGACAGGCCTCAAGATCTAGCAAGGACCATTTGGGCGCTAAATCCCATGCATAGGGAAACTAAGCAGGAGACATAACCAAAACCCCTGGTATCTTTCTAAAAGTTATTTAATAGAGATTATGCATTCTACTTTTTTAATCATCATGGCTCCTAACACAATGCCATGCTCATAGCAAATATTAAATAAATGCTATGGAATGAATAAAGAAAGTTACTAGAGCCCTGGCCAGTTTGGCTCAGCAATTAAGAGTGTTGGCCCACATCCCTGGCTGGTTTGGCTCAGAGATTAGAGCGTCGGCCTGCGAACCAGAGAGATCCGGGTTCGGTTCCCGCTAAGGGCATGTACCTCACTAAAGGCATGTACCTCAGTTGCAGTTTGTCCCCAGCTCCGGTTGGGGTCATGTGGGTGGCAACCATTCGATGTATCTCTCTCACATTGATGTTTCTCTCTCTCTCTTCCATCCTCTCTCTTTTCCACCCTCTCCCCCTCCTGCTCTATCTAAAGATAAATGCAAAAATGTCCTCGGGTGAGGATGAAAAAAAAAAAAAGAGTGTTGGCCCACAGACCAAAGAGGTTCAATTCCTGGTCAAGGGCACATGCCTGGGTTGCAGGTTCAATCCCCGGCCCAGTTGGGGTCGTGGGGGAAGCAGGCAATCATTGTCTCTCTCTCACATAGATGTTTCTCTCTTTCTCCTTCCCTCCCTTCCACTCTATCTAGAAATCAATGGGAAAATATCCTCGGGTGAGGATTAATAAAAACAAAGATAAAGAATGTTACTAGACCAGTTCACTGTACCAAACTACAAACGCAGCAGGCAAGACTCTTAGGACAGGAAAACAAAGGAATCTGGTCAACTCAGACCCCACATAAATGTTCCAGATTCTACTGACCTGCCACAGTTCTATCCTCTCAATCACTTTCTGACTAATTACTGGCTGTCACTAGCTGCACTAATATTAGCAACTATTATCCAGGGATGGCGAAAGGGTAAATATGTAATCATTTTAGAAAGTTAAAATATACAAGGGCTGAGTTTTTTCTCATAAAGTCATACTCACAGGAATGTTGCCAGCAGTAGCCCCAGCTCCAAATCTGGCACCTGCATCATACCCTCCGTCCACCAGCACTGTTGAACCAGGTGGATAGATGGGGCCAACTGGATAATAAGCCATGGGGATTGTGGAACCTAAAGGTCCAACAGCCACAGACTGGGCCATGGGAAGATACAGTGA